ATGACATTGGCTAGATTTTTACGTACGACCGCCTGCTTGTTGTCAACCTTCCTTGGGAACAAGCACCCAGAACCGGATCAATTGTCTGCAGGTCAAACAAATACTTCTCCCGTTTGAGAATCGAACCAATGACTCCCGGTGTCGAGCCGTTGGCTTAGCAACCTCGCTACCGAGTGATATAAAAAATAACTATGTTACATAATTTTTGAGACACCCATCTGACAAAAAGTTCAGGTACATTGCGAAGCGTACAACAAAGATATTAAATGTGATATCCGAATTAAATTGTCATTTTCAGGCAGTCCGAAAATAATATTACAATATCGCAGCATTGACGTTACTCGACCGACATAGTGTAAAGGTCGGCCACATTGGATAGTATACAGTATTAAAGATATTGAATGCGAATTAATGCGATTTTATTGGCAAATCAACAGGGGTTAACGGGATAGTAAGTGATTACCGCACCGCTCATGGACACCCAAAACTCACCTTACAGGGTTGCAGAGACTTGCCAAACATAAAAAAGTGGGCCCCGGTTACCTCACTCACCAGACGAAACGCGAAAGTATCATACTTGATGCTTGACGCCAGTCTTCTCTGGGGCCGTGATTTCCTGCGCTAGGCTGAGTGCTTATTAAAATAAAGACGGACGCATCTGCAACCCTCGGGTGTAGCAGATGTCCATGGGTGACGAATATTCACTTAACATCAGGTGAACCGCCTACTCGCTTGGCGACTTTTCACAAAAAAAAAATAATGTCCCACTGCTGGTCAAAGGCCTCCTCTATACAGAGGAGGAAACAAATACTTATAATTGTGGCAACGATTCCGGTGATTTAAGGTTTACTTAGGCTTGTTGGCTTGCTATTTGGCTTGTTGATTGGTGATTTGATTATAGTATGAATTTGAATAAATCTCAGTGGCAATGATGTACAACACTATGACAGATAACTGACGTAAAGATGTTTAAGTTTATAATTTATAAATAACTATAGATTCAATTTCCTATGCTATGCAGAACTTTTTATAGATAGTCATAAAATAGCAAATAATTATTGAAGTACTCATGCGACTATTTTTATTTCGTCAAGTTATCAAAATATGATAACGCCTAAATGTACATATATCGTATAATTAATAACGGCTAATTACGAAATATCTTAACGTTTCGCAAAGCTCGTCAGCATCATAAATACCTTAACGTCGATGTTCCAAACTAACCCTTTCGTTTAAAGCCCGCTAGGTACGAAATTTATTACATGTTGTATTAGCCCAATATGGTGATAGCTTTGCCGGCTCGCTTCCCTCGCTTGGAACACAACGCTTTAGCAACGCCGGTGTCGTAACAATGACTACCGAATGTATAAATTCACGCGTAATTGTCGAGGTACAGTGTGAGAAACTATTTTGTCGTATGGTCCAAGGGAATCATGCGTGCGTTTTGGTTTCGTAAGGTTCCGTACACAAAGGGTAAAACGGGACGGAACCTATTACTAAGACTTCGCTCTCTGTTTATCTGCCTGTCCGTCTGGCACCAGAATTAATAAAATATTTGAAATGGGCTTCGCATACAACAGACATGATATTTTTGCCGTTTTTATGATGTTTTTATAAATGGTATGGACTCGCACGTTTATTTTTATTTTATGGACTGTACAATGTTTGTGTGGAAGTATTATACTTTTCCGTTTCATTAGGCGAGTGAGGTAATCGGGGCCCACCCTTAACCTTTAACTGGAACTACACTGATGTTGAAAATGTCCATGGGTGACGGAAATCACTTAACATCAGGTGACGGTTCGTCTCGCTTGCGACCTTCGCACATAAATAATATTGTTATAAAAATTGTGATCCAGTGGAAGATAACGAACGTGACGAAGAAAGTAGGATTGATAAAAGAGACGTGTCAGCAGCAGCCAAACTAGCTGGGTATTATCACTTGGCGTGGCGTATTCCATTATGTACGTCAACTAAGTCGAATGCAGAAGCTGTTTTTAGGGTTCCGTACGCAAAGGGCTAACTATCACTGTTTTTGAAATACCAGGCTGTATTTCAAGAACCGTGATAGTTAGACAGTTGAAATTTTCACAAATGGGATTTCTGTTGCCGCTATAACAACAAAGACTAAAACAAGGATAAAAAAAATATTTAAGGAGAGGTCACAGTATACAACAGACATGATTTTGCCGTTTTTATACATAAAGATACGAGAACCCTTCGTGCGCGATTCAGACTCGCACTTGGCCGGTTTTTTTTCTTTAACCGAACTCCGCTAACAATCATCGGGAACAATCAGAACCGTCTTCGATTACACAGATTAAACGCTCTGACACGTTGATAAGTGAAGAGAGAGCATGTCGAGGTGTAGCAACATCGCTGTGCACTGTACTCGTTTTAGATTCAGTAACGACCGCTGAAGACGTTTATGTTGATGAAAGAAAATAAAAAGTGTTACAGACGGTGTCCGCATTGTGTAAATTATAATAATATAAGAATTGAATTCTATTACATTCCTTAAAAGAAAGTAAGTGCCATTCAATAATAATATAATCAAGTTGACTACTAATCGTTGACGATCATAACTGCCTTGGAATTCGGGTGTACCTTTGTACACGTTATGTTGATTTAACCGTGTTCGCAGCAGAGAACGTACTGGTTTGTTCCTTATGCTTGCGCTAAGGCTCAAATAGCAGCCTCGCATTGGCCATCGCAATTCAGGAAGGCCACTCCACTAGATGAAGTGACGATCTGCGCAAAAGTGCAGTTATTGTGGAATCAAAAATACGCGGCGTGCGGTTCGTCGCGAATACGTAAATTTTAATGTGTCTGAAACGCCGCTTTGTCGTGCTAGACTAGAAATCTAGCCGAGTCCAATAGAAGAAAGAAAGAAAAAAAGAAAGAAAGCAAACATTTACTGCTCAAATACGCCACATGTACATTTAAACCATAAACATAAAAAAATACATAGTAAAAAGAAAAAAAAAAGAAGAATAAAAAAATATTAAACACATCACACATTTCACGCACACAATTGTGTGTGGCGTATACGGCGAACAGACCGCACTCAGCTTAATGCCACAGTCGATACGAGACTACAGCGCTGGTTTTCAGTGGGCCTGTGAATTAAGTGACGTACAATAAAAGCTGCCACACATAATTATATACACGGTTACAGCGGTCGGCACAGACCGAATCGCTGCTTGTCGTACAATCGTTTGAAAGGAGTTCGTTACGCGCAGAAGCCCTTCGATACGGCGTTCTCACTAATTGAGCCTCAGTGCACCCGGCAGTAGGAATTTTAATTGCCTATATGCAAATTTTCGATTGTTATACAGGATCGACAATGCTCGATGACTGGCTGACACGATTCTAACGGCAGCTGCGGGCGAATATATCGCCCGTTTAGAAATCAATTGTTCAAACTCCAAGTTGAGCGTTCTGATTCCCAATTAAGACATTCAGATGTACTTGAGCCTTGAGCTGACAAGATCGAATTGAAGACCGAGGATTTTGTGAAATTCCAAAGTCCCAGCATTTCATAGTATCGAAACTTTTTCACGTGAATAGTAGGCATGTGAGCTGGTGGTTCACATGATGTTAAGTGATTATCACCTACCTATAACAGTGAAGCATTTGCGTTGCGAAACTTTTGATAACAGTGACTTACAGTTATCTCAGTCACCAGACGAAACGCAAAAGTCTAACTCTTCTACTTCATGCTGGTCTTTTGTGAGACCGTGGTACTTCCACCGAAGATCCTACCTATTCGTGCAACAGTGAAATCTAGTACGTGACCCACCCAGGGTGACAGAAATGGCAATAAACGCTTCATACTAATAAAAATTTTAAATGATTTGTAGAAAAAAGGATGAAAATTTCATGTTAAGCGCAGAGATGTGATATAAAAAATTTAATTTTTACGATTTAGCAAAGCTATCTAGACATTTCAGTCAAGGAATATTATAAAATTTCGGGTACATTTCATACTTATAATATGCTTTAACATACGTAATTTCTTCTTGCTTAAAGGACGATAAATTGATGTTGAGATCATGCTTTATTTCATCCCTAAAATCTAATAAAGATTTGGATAAATTTCGTTCTCATAATATGCTTTAACATACTTGATGCTTGTGATTGCGTCTTACTTAAAGTACGATAAAGTAATGTGGAGATCAAGCTTGTTAGAGACATGCTGGAATAGGACATAGTGCGCCGATTCAAAATAGTAAGGACGATATGGAGATGACGGTGATTAGGTTGCCAGGGTTGAACATTATTTTTGTGAATGAACGGTTCACTTAATGTTATGTAAACCCATGGACTTCCGCTTACATATTTTCCCTGCCCGGACCATTACTTAACCCTGTGACCGCCTACTAGGTGTTGTAGATGGTCACAAATGAGTCCTTATGTTTATTTTGATGTATTTAGGACGTTTTGATCAATCTCGTAACACATTAATTTTATTGTATAGTCAGACAAAAAACTAAAAAAGTACTTTTTCTACATGTTTTAATGTTCAATCTTAAGTGCAGAGATTAGCACTATAAAACACCTTAAAATTTAAAAAAGTCTTTTAAAAATTTCATACATCAAACAATTTTATTTTACTGCAGTATATATTGTTGTAAATATAAAATTTTAAAATCTTGTAAATGTTCACTGATTATTACTTAAATATATGTTGTTGACTCTAGATTGACTTGCACTCGGACAATTTGCTTATAGTTTTCTTTTTTACAATTAAGGCGAAATGAAGTATCAACAAAAATAGATGTCGAAAGATGAACCGGTCATAATTTAACAGTTCCTAAAGATGGAAACAAACGATATGATTAAAAAAAATTGACTTCATCCGACATCTTTGCGACAAGTCCTGTATTGTTTAAATGCTCTCCACTCCTGTCCGAGCCGAGCGATCATATATAACATAAATGACAATAGGTCAGCCGAGTCGGCACAATGCAAATGCTAACCATCAATATCTGTTACAGAAAGCGCTAGTTCGTCGAGGGCGCTAAGGCAAGATGAATCGACGTCCATACAACTGCCGTTCCAGTGAGTATTTCGCCATGTATGTCGCCATTTAGAATAAATAAACATAGTATAGTACCGTAGAGGTACTTTTTAACCAAACCTACAATACTATCAATTTCTAAGTGTATTGCTTTTACAAAATAAAGTAAAGTAACAGCCTATACATGTCCCACTGCTGGGCAAAAGCCAGTCTATACAGTGGGTATGAGGGCATAGTCCACCACGCGGCCCACTGCGGATTTGAGTACTTCACATATCTTCGAAATATTTTTTTTATTATTATTTCGAAAAAATGCAGGTTTCCTCACGATGTTTTCCTTCACCGCGGAGCGATTAAATGCGAGCGCCCGGACACTGAGCTATCACGGCTCGTTACAAACGATAGCTTAAATAGCCCAATCCGTGATAATAACACATAAAGTTTTTAAAATTTGCAGGACCAGTCATCAAATGCCCAAAATTAAGGTCGGCCCGGACCTCCGCAGCGCCCGAAGGTACAAGCATCATACGAACAAGTAAGTTTGTTAATTGTCGAACCGTTTATAATTTGGTTAGATCTGAAGATACAACTACGATGATAAATGGTTTACTGATCTGTCGTTAATTAATTCTGGTTAATATTAAAGGTTTGGTTAATTGAAATCAAACCAATAGTTTTCACTGAGATCCACCGTCTGCTAAGAATGAAAAACTTAAGTTTTAACAAAACATCACGATCGGTTATTAAATTTTAAAATTGTAACATACATTTTAATAAATTGTTTGACTGTGGTATGACAACTTTGGCCTATGTATAAATACACGGACAGGCTCGTCAGCGGATATACCACATCTTTGAAGAAGACCGGTGTGATATGGAAGTATAATACTTTCGCGTTTCGTCTGGTGAGTGAGGCTACCGGGACCTATATTTTTTTAAAGTGGGACTCACTCTCAATTTTTGTGGATGTCATTGATTATCACTTAAAATCAGGCAATTCGCCTGCTCGCTTGACGACAACAACTTTTCACAAAAAAAAAAAAGATCTTCAAAGCTACACATTCAATAGTGCAACATATTAAGTTTAAATGCTTTGAGTCATGAGCTAAACATGGACTAATGAACTGGACAACGATTTCAATCCAGAAACTGATAAACTGAAACGCCCGACGATGCCGAATTGCAGGTCGAAACCGCCATTACCGCAGCCAGCACCGCCCCAACCGAACCAGCACCTGAGTGGCGTCGAGGTGTCGGCTTGCAAGCCCTTCCTGCCACCGCTCCTACCCTTCCCGATAGCGAACAGCAACCAGCCGAACGCGGGGCCCGAAATGGAGCTGAAGAGTTTCCTCCTCAACACGGCCCTGCAGAACGCCCTGACCGATTCCCTGAACCAGCTCACCCAGAGGCGCTTCGCCAAACCGGCTTTGGACACGAAGAGGCCCCGCGTCGAGGAGTTCACGAACAACAACAACGAGGAGACGCAGAGCAAGAGGCGGCTGCACAAGTGCGACGTCGCCGGCTGCCACAAGGTGTACACGAAGAGTTCTCATCTGAAGGCGCACAAGCGGACGCACACCGGTAAGTTGTGGCACCAGTGGCAGGACCAAGCAGCCGTCTACGCTGCACCACGACCTCACAAGTTGTGGCACCAGTGGCAGTGGTGCGCAACAGTACACTGCACCACGACCTAACAGAAGACCGGTGTCAAGTGGAAGTGTTATATTTCAGCGTTTCGTCTCGTGAGTGAGCTCCTGAGTGCCCACTTTATTGAAAGGTGGCAACGCATCTGCAAGCCTATGGGTGTTCCAAATGTCCATGGGTGGTTTTGATTTACCATCAGGTGAGCCGCCAGTTCGGTAGCCACCTTCTCACATACAAAAGTGGAGTCCCACGACCTCAAATAAGAGCATCATCGTCGTGAGTTCGATTACTATACGAGACAACTATTTGAGTGACCCAGAGATAATTGTTTCCGATCTGGGTGTTTGTCCTCGTCAATTTTTTTAGTAAACGTAACTTACAACACAAAATAATGTTATCCTACTTTTCGAAGGGAAGAGTACAATACATCTTTCTAGGTAGCAATGCTCGTTGGGCCTTCCTATCCGACCCCTTCCACACAACATACAAATATAAATAGGGAACCTGATCTAAAGATTCCGGCGATGTCTGACCCCCTATTGCCGGATATGTAGCCCCACCTAATAAACGCGGGCGGCCAAAGAACACCTTTCTTCAGATGCCGCCACCCTACGATCAAGCATCCTACATGGGTAAAATCTAAAAAATATGCGGCAACAGTTCAAAACCATCCTCTCCATCCTGTCCCATCCTGTCTTCGCGTTACTGTAGAGAGAGAAAACTTTTCGACTTCGCCTTGTTAACGTATAACCGACTCTATTGCTGCTCGTTTAAAGTTCATTTTACGCACGCAGGCGAGAAGCCCTACTCGTGCGGCTGGGCGGGCTGCGAGTGGCGCTTCGCCCGCTCCGACGAGCTGACCCGTCACACGCGCAAGCACACCGGCCACCGGCCGTTCACGTGCCCCCTCTGCCGGCGCTCCTTCGCCCGCTCCGACCACCTTGGGCTGCACATGCGCCGCCATTGACGCCGTAACGCACCTTAGCAGCATAGCAATAAGGAACAAATTTGCATACGTCTCTTTGCAGCATCGGTAAGGATCTCGAAACGTGCACCGCCGTGGACGCCGAAATGGCCCTTCGTCTCCATTACAATTAGGAACAGATTTGCATACGCTGGGCGGTCAATGTTGGTCTTTGACGTTGAAATGGTTCTTCGTCTGTTAACAGTAAGGAACGAATTTGCCTACGACCTTTGATCAATATCGGTAAGTATCTCGAAACATGCACTGCTATTGACGCTGAAATGGTTCTTCGTCTGGTAATAATAAGGAATGAATTTGTCTACGCTCTGTGATCAATATTGGTAACGATCTCGAAAAATGCACCGCCGTTGAACAAATTTGCATATGCTGTGAGAACAATATTGGTAACGATCTCGAAACTTCGTTTAAGCTGAAATATTTTTTGTAACAATAAAGAAAAAAAAATTGCCTTGGAACAATACCGATAAGGATCTCGAAACAAATATAATCCTTGGCTACGTAACTTTAGTATTTTCAGGTTATTTTAACAATGTCATTACAAAAATACAGTTTGAAATAAAGTAACAAATGATAATTTTGACATTTGTTGTTATTATAGCTACAGATGTTAACAATAAAATTAGAAAAAAATAGACACAAAATGCCCTGCGTGGAAGTTTTTTAACGAGAAAAATAAAGCGATTTTTTCATTTCACTCGTTGATGTCTTTTTATAGTTTTCTCTAGATGCTCTATCTCAAAGAAGCAAAGTTGTAATAAAATGATTACAACTCTTCAGTCTAACCGGTATTTTTATTAATGTTTTTAAAAATTTAAAAAAAAATGATCTTGAAATGAAAAATTGTTATTTCGAAACGAAAAATTGTTAAAATAACCCGAAAAACCTTTATAGAGAACAAACTCGCACCCGCCCGCTGAGGTTGATTACTAAGGATTTTGATGCTCTATTGGAATGAACGCAAAAAAGAAAGTTGCTATTGTGTAAGATCTCGAGTAAAACAAAAAATGCTGGATAGCCTGTAGAAATAAAAACTAGTATGCATTCACGGAGATCAATGAAGCAATCCGAAAAACCAATAAAATTTAGTCGAAAATCGAAATTAACCTAACATAACACGAATATAAATCCACGCTTATGCCAATAAGCCTAAAACTAGCTGTTAAATAATAGTTAATGTTATTTCAAACCGAATCGTTGTGATCATGTAAATCATAGATGATATAAACAAATTGTGTAAACTAAATAAGAATTTATGGTCAAAGCGTCCCTGGGCTAAACTACTTTTGAAATTTATATTAAAAATCAAGTACTTAGATTATTTAGTTATTATGAATCAAATTTTAATTTCATTAACCAGGGCTAGCTTTTGTACATTGGTAATAATAAGATTTAATGGGAAAAGAACTATTTAAATTACATCTATTTTTCTTTCTTTTAAGACACACACGTGCCTTTGTATGTGTAAGTAGTGTTTGAATAGATTTCGAAAACTCTTCTAGAAAAGTTCATCCACAAAGAGTCAACGGAGAACGAAATATCGTACGAATATAAATTTAAACGAATTATCAAACGATCTGATCGAATTAATTATACCATTTACACGCGAGCTATGTGAAAATAAAAACAATTGGTTCCTAGTCCACGTGTTGGATGTAGCCTTTCTACGAATGTTGTTATTTTGAAAGTAATATTTTTTTTTAGTTATAAGCTGTACAACTACAGAATAGATTAAGTGTTTACGACTATTGTCGTCCATTAACCGTGAATTTTGTCTCTGCGGCATTATTGTAAACTTAGGGCCAGTATAGTTTATACATTTATTAATATTAAATAAATTTTAAGTAATTAGTGTGATACTTGTGTACGTAAATACATCTTTTGATGTTAGCTCTACTTCCTGAAGTTTTATATATTAAGTGTTAAGAAAATATCCGAAACATGGTTACGGAAAAATAAGATATAGAGTTTACCCTCTCTTTTGAGATAATATAACTATGCGTGATGCAATATCTTTCACAACTTTTTCTTGTAATGACAATTTTTACCTGTCACCGACATATTGGTTAAAGAACGATTTTTAAGTCAAATGTGTTCGCAAGAGAATCTCATTGGTAAGTGCTGTTATGAATTCAGTCACGGAGCATAAAGAATTACCGACAAAATTAGTCAATTTGTCTGTACGTTCGCGCAGAATATTTGTCGTGACATCATAGATGCACTGACCGCCGTCGCCTTAGATTACAATCCCTTTGTTAAAAACAATATGCGTTTATCTAAATGTCAAATAAACCATTACTTTTATTTTCTGTCTACTTAAACTAAAATTTCATTTGCTGGCATTAGGATTGAAGTGATTACGAAATTCTTCATGCTCCCTGACGAAATTAAGTTTCTTCATTCAAGAGATAGATTACCAAGCCTATATATTCATTAATTAAATAATTTTGACGATATCTTAATTCATTATATCAACGACCTTGCCAATTTCATAACATGTGAAAAATTCACATAAAGTATGTAGTTAAATAAGTTATTTTTAGGTATTAATATTTATAGGTATGAAAGCATTATAATAAATAATAAATTTTAATTGTATAAATACGTTAGACTTTTATACTCCAATGCTCAAAATCATAAGTTCCACAAAATAAAAGATACAGGGCAATTGTGGCAATATTAGTGTAATGGAAAGAAAATCCTATTTTAATATATTTACTTAATTTCTAAATAAAAAAATGTAAACGTTTATATATATATTGTTTTGTTTCAAATGTTTATAAATGAACCAACTAATATCATATTTAGTGTACTTTAATTGTAATTGTGTTTGTGTTTGAACTGTATGCGATGTGTTGTTTTATACCAGAGTATAGAAAAAAGATTTTCTATTTGAAACCAATCGGTGCTTTTGAATACTATGTAATTATTGTATTCTCTATTTTTTGTGTACTTTGACTTTACAATAGTTCTCTTTCACTTTAATAGATATAATTTTGCAATATATGTAGATTAGTGTAGGTTAAAAAAGGTATTTAGATAATAGTAATTTCGGGGCCAGTATTTTTGAAATTACCTAGAGTAGTAGAAAATGTTAAACGTAAAATACACGCTTTTCGAGCAACTTTACACACTAAAATAAGCAAAGGTAATAAAAACTAAATGAAAATGTATTGATCTCAAATTGGATATTCCTCTCTCTTTCTCTCTATTATTTTTACGTCGCATCTTTTGATCTCAACTCAATACAATGTATTATTCGCTTTATTAATTGCTTGTGTACTTATTATGGCTATTCGAGTTATGTAAGATGACCTTAAGGTTTATTGATGAATGTTTATATATCCCATCATCAACTTTTTTACACATTAAGTATTACATTTCGCAAATTTAAACGGCCAAGCTTTTCAATTTATACCGTTGGCATCAATTTCTTTAGTTTCTATAATGCTGTCATCATAGCCATTATACAATTAAAGAAGTTCGGCATGTACTTTGGAAAATGTATCTCTTTCTTGTCTCTATACAATTCGTTTTAAAATAAAACAATTTTAAGTTACAAATGCGTTCGGAAATACGCCCTCCCCTTATTTAAGATAAGTTATGCATGCTTTAAGTATGTATTACATTGAAAACTTTGGTGCTGGACTGGATTTTTATATATATTTATTTTTTATTTTCCTCAATGATTTTTTATGTAGACAATTTTCTCAATTCATTTACGTAAATTTATTGTTATTTTTATTGAGAAACAGTAAGAATTTGACATATTCTAATAGTTTGAAACGAATTCAAAAATTAATTCAGCCAAAAAAATTTTTTGTATGATATTATTATAATATTGATATTGATGTATTAAAAGAGATCACCACGTATTGCATTGGCGATTTATTTATAATTCATGCATTATTTTGTAATAAATCGTACATTTTTTTATACACTGTATTTGTTATAAATATAAAGCAATGCATAAATAAGGGAGTGTTGTTTTATTTTGTTACCTATATAATTGTTAATTCTCACTCTGTTATTAATTCTAGAAACTCCGATCAGTTTTCACTCATTAAACAACCGCTTGGACGTTATTTTCATCGTAACAACACTAGTCGCTTAATGGAAGATAGCCATGAAGTCTATTTTATCAAAGAAAAAAAATTTAAGATGCGATTTCAGTGTCAACAGTCAAAAATCAACTTATATAAAGGATGCGCTGATACAAAACTGATTGTGAAAAAGTGGCTTTAACTTTCCCCATCGTAGTATTCTGGGCTGAAAATTCAAACACTGAACATTAATATTACATTTCTTCTTAGTCGCATCAAGTCTTGACAGACGGGTCGTGTTCATTTTGACGTAGTAAACCACTTGACTATACCAGCTTCCACTCTTCCCGTTTCCTTTCTGACATGCAGGGGAACATCTGCTGCCTAACCTTCTGTGTCCACGTCATGGGCGATCGACCACGCGCCCTAGTACCCCTTTCCTTTTACCACCAAGGGCTCTATAGAAACATCATTCTGTAGAAACACGTGACCAAAGTACAAAAGGATTCATTGTTAAAAATTACTCCGTGGCGCAGTCGCCGCGGTATCGGCTTCGGCGTCGGGTGTCGTTGGTTCGATTCCCACATGGGACAATTATTTGTGTAACCCACAGACATTTGTTCCGCATCTGGGTGTTTGTCCGCGTGAAATTTATACACAGGATAATGTTATCCCAAAGTAAGGGCAATGTTTTTTTTAAATTCAAATTCAAAAAGTAATGGTGAAATTATGCACCCTTGATGAACGGCGGTACTTGCGTGAATGTGGCCTGATAGCTTATCATCTTTTCTTACCGTCGCCATACCATCTTCATACAAATTTCTGAGCAGATGAACAAGGTGCTTCGGTGTGCCCATTTCAAGAGGCTTCCAGAGCACAGGCCATTTTACGGAGTCAAATGCTTTTAAAAAATCCAGAAGACAGATGAGTTGCTTTGTT